TGTATGATTTCTTTTCAGAGGAAAAACTAAGAGATTAGCTTGGCTGTCAGCTAGCCGGCGGCCCAAAGTATGTGGGTTTATTCAGAAGGAGGTTAGGAGATTAGCCTATTTGTTAACTGCTGTGTAGGTTGCGGTCTCTTGGGTTTTTCTGATGACATCTGTCATATCACTGCTGAAGGCTGGAGCTTCAGATGTGAGCTACTCCATCAGTGTATCGGATGTCTTTGACAAGCTTGTATGTCTCTTAAGAGTCTTGTTCTTGTCAGTTTTATGAGGCCACTCATTTTCCCCTGAATTATATCTTTAAGCTTGCCAATTACAAAACTCAGACAGAAAATGAAATCCTTGCTCTCTGCATTACCATCTCCGTGTAACGAGATGTACAATTTGCCAATTTAAATACCGTCATACACACCGACACACTCATGGTAAAAAAAATGTGTGACTCATCCTCTTCTGTCTTTGCCTTAGAATCTGTTGTCTTCACTGCTCTTTGCTTACTGCTGACACAAATAAACCAGCCTCCACTGAATATCACTTCGCTCATTATGTCTCTCACCTTTCTTACCTGAACATCATTGACAGTAAAGGCCTTTAACACCAAGTCCAACTGAATTTATACTGAAAGGTTGTGGTTTTCATGCACACGGTCCTTTCATACCAAATCTTGTGCAAAGATTCAGAAAAAAGAGAAACCCTTAAGCGAACATCCTCTTATGTTCCGTGACTGGGACCAGGATCTCCATACTGAAGCCTTCATGTTCTTTTTTACTTTTCATGCTGCCTGCCTGCTTTTAGTAAAATGTGGCAGTTTCCCTTCTCATATATACATATCACAGAGATTTCTTCATAATCTTTTAACATCTTCTACTGAAAAAAAGGTCAGAACAGAATCTTTGGCAATAAATGTAAATTGCAGATCATCTACCCTGATATTCAGACTGAATAAACAATTTGTTTCACTTTATTATTCAGTCTTACAATTGTGTTCATCTTATTTTATTTTTGAGAAACAAATCACTGAATGGTTGATCTTTGAAATATGTTGAAGCTCAAGAAATAAATGCATTTGGTGAACTGACTCAGTCATGTCATTTAGTATCTGAAGTTTGCTATTGTTAACAACCAAAAGATACTGGTTATACTGGTTATAGTGAGATGAAGCAGCAAAACCCTCCCTTAAAGGAGGGTTTTAAAGAGTGTAATTGGGTCGGTTGTTTATCTAACCAGGGAAACCGTTGTTAATGAGCACACTGATTTGAGATATGGGCAGTGATTTAGAGATGTGTAACCAGGCCACATATTGCCCATGTGCTTTTTCTGCTTTACTTTCAGATCTGTATCTGCTGTCCTACTTGTCACATTCCAGACACTAAAATTATCTGCAGGTCAGACTTTCCCTTTCTTTGGGACACATCATGTAAACAGTGGCTCCGTAGCTGAGTATTGATCGGCTTTTAGTGGTCAGTTAGATTTAAACTAAATGTAAAACTCAAACTCGAGTTCAAGAAAAAATACACAATTATCATGTGGAAATGTTGGACTGTGTGTAAAAAGGCCTTAAATCTGCTAATCTCCACGTATACATACTTCCCACTGTGACTAAAATGTTGCTCACAGGATGTGTTTGTCAGCCGGTAATGTTTCCAGTCAGTCAGCGGTTGTGTTTTCAATGCATCTATTGCACCTCTTATCCGTCTTCCTGCTATCTGTCCTCTGCATCTGTGAAGTAATTTCATTTCCTCTCTTGTGTTGTATATTAATTTATGTACTCCCCCACCACATACTCCTGTCACAGCCACCTTATCTGAGTAGCCTTGGCAGTCGAAGTTACAAAACTCCAGAGACACACAAAAAATTTTCTCCTTACGTCAATGTGGTCTTTGTATTTCTTTTCTTTTTTTTTATTGTTATTTAAGCATTCAGATTAATATTATCTTTCAGGCAGTTGGAAGGCAGAGACAGAGATGGAGTACAGGTGACTGAGACATGGTACATGGTACCAAAGTTGACTGTCTTTTCTACTAAATCATCTCACAGTCACATCTGCTCACCTTGTCACAAAATAGGTTTCTGTGCTCAGTTCTTGCTGGCTGAATGACACTAAACACTCAATACTCATTACTACAAGAATAGTTATGTACTTGCTTGTATATTTAATTGTTGTTGTGTATAAAGTTGTGTAGAGTCATTTTCTCCTGCGCTAAAATCACTTAAAAGGTCTAAATTTTTAAAAATATCAATAGGATGGTGAAGAAGAGAATCTGCTGTTGTTGTTTCCAAAGTTACTGTCGTCTGTCTTTGAACCTGCCAACCACTTCTATTTCTTGGTATTTCCATCCTGCTAGTTTATATTCATGTTCGTGCCTCTCTCTGTATTACTGTTTGACTTGCTCCTGTTCTCAGATACTTGAAACCTCTAGAGATTGCACTTCAGCTCATCTTCTATGTAAATCCACAGAAAATAAAAAAGTCTTCTCTGCACACCTCAACTTCTAGAGGAAAATAAACTCTTTATAAGACGTTTGTCACTGAACACAACAGATGTTTACCAGCTTCTCCAAATCACCTTGTTATGTTATAGCACCAGGCAACATTTCTGTAACACTTCTGATGTTGTCAGATTCATGTGGAGGCTCCAGCAGATGAAACAAGCAATGTGATTTATTTCTTGCGTTAAAAAAAGTGGGCCAGGCTTTGGGTCAGCAGTACAACCCCAACAGAAACCCACAGGACAGGAGCTAGATTGGAAAACTAGATTGGAAAAGTTTCAGTGAATCTGCTCATTTATCCATGCATGTTAGTTCTTAAATAATGATTAATAATGATGAATCTTAGCAATAGCGCATCAACTGCAGGGATTGTGAGGTTGTTGATTAATGCTTTCACAGTTTCACTTTCACACTTTCAGTTTGTCCTCTCTGCTCTAAACAAATTTTGCTACCCCTCACTTCTACTACCTGCCCTGTATTATTTTTAATATGATATTTTGTCTTTTAATATACAATTATTTTGGATCGATGCATAATTTTCGTAGCTTACATTCGGACTATTTGTTACCTAAAACTTTTGAAGCTGTAGCATGGAATTCATGTTGATGTTAAATGCTGTAAGATGGCAGAGGTTACTTCATGCCTTTTGACTTAAAATCAACAATCATGTTTTGTGCAACATAAATTTGGAGGAAGGATGGTTCCAGGGCACCCAACATCCTGTTGTCCTCAATATCAACTCTATTCATCAGTTGAGTAATACTAAAATGAAAACAAAAGGCCTTTGGATTCTTGTTGTGTATTTCCTGAATAAGTATAGATCAGGGCTAATAATTTAGTCTAAAAACAATTTCTCATTTTTTCTAACCAACTGACCAAAACGCAAACATATTCAATCTGCAATGACATGAAACAGAGAAGAGCAGAACATATTCTCATTTCAGAAGCTGGAATCAGACAGTGTTTTGAGTTTTTGCTTGAAAAACAAGTCAAACTATTAATCGATGATCAAAAACTGACTAATTGATTCAACTCTGGTTCATATAATTAATAATGATTTATGTCAGTTTGCATCATTTTTCTGTTATAGCAAAGATGATGAGCGAACTAGAAACAGAATGATCCAGGGTGGATGGATCATTGTAAACACTTGGAAACTTATTTACCCTCCCAGGGTGGATGGATCTGAATGCATTCTGGGATAGGCTGCTGCTTCCCAGAACCTTTAACAGAATAAGCAGCTGTCAAAATTATTTATTTATTTGGTTCTTTCCTTTTTTATTATCAACCTTTTTTTTCTTTCATTTCCCTCTCATTGTTTAAATCTTCAGTAAAGGACTCTCAGTGGGTTGGATCATAATGGAATTAACAGCGGTCATTTTGTCGGAGGAGATTTTACATTTCATCATGACAGATGTTTCATTTACATTTCAAAACAGAGACAAAACATTCCAGTGGCTTCTCACACAAGTGAAGGTGCTCTTGCAGCTGTTATTGGGAACAAAGGATTTTCATGACATTTCTACTGGAGCGATGGGAGGGTACAACGTAACGTGATAGATCAGACTGAATCCTACAACTTAACCAACGCAAATAATAACACCGGCTCGGTAAAATGCCACTTTCAGACATTTGCTCTAAATCCTTCAATTTTCTGATTATATCTGACCCTCCTACTGTGACAAAGTAATCTCTTTGACTTCATGTCTGCTCTTTGCAGCCTCTCTCCTTGTTGTTTTTCTTTCACGTCTTCTCGGACGCATTTGTCTTTGTTCAGCGGCACAGCACTGTCACGCTCACACCAATTAGCTCTGATGGAGAAAACTGCTGTTGCTGACAGCAGCTAGATTGGAGGATGGTTTTCATGGAAAAAATGAACCTTCCTTCCCACCCTGTAATCACACCCAAGTTTAACAAGGAAAATACTTTCTGTCCCTCTCTGTCTTTGTCTCCCTGCCTCTGTGAATGGGTGTGAGTTATAGTTGCATTTCCCGTTCTGTCTCAGATCCAAGGAACAACCCACACAATGGGTGAGATGTCAGAAAGACTGTGTCCAAATTGGCTTAATGTGTTCTCAGTTTTGCACTTTGCAATATGCTATTAAAGGACTTTTGAAGAGATACAGTTTGTCTTCTCAATGCACTTCTTGTTCATTTGTGCTCTTGGTGACAAATGAGTCTCTTTTCATCCCTTTCTTGCTGTGATTAAAGTGCCGAGGCATACAGCTCAGCTTAGTACTCACTGTATGAATTATATGCTACAGCAGACTGAAAATAATAAAGTTCCTAGTTCCTTTTCAGCCGGCATTTCATTTTCCTCCAAACAAGAGGGAACTGTCGCCAGAACTCTCATGTTACTTGATGATTGCATTACAAACAGCACTTTATTTCACCTTGTCACAATTCTTCCCTCCATCTAACTCAAACTGAAGTATTACAGCATCAAAGAGTAAACAAATGTCTTTTTTTCCCTGTCTCACTCTACCCCTCGTCCTCTCTTTCACTACAGTGTTGTATCGATAACTATGAGGAGATGGTGAAGATCCTGCTGGACCGAGGAGCGAGTGTCAACGCTCAGGACAACGAGCTGTGGACGCCGCTGCACGCCGCTGCTACATGTGGCCATGCAGGGCTGGTCAAGATTCTTATTGCACAGTAAGACATACAGATACACTACACCCTGGTTTCTTGCAGTGTTTTATAGGGGAAAGAAAGAATTAAGTATAGTACATGCGGTTTTGGACTGGAGGAACTTTTTCATAGTTTTAAGAACAGTTGGAGGACCCCGTCCCCCTTTTTTGTTTGTGTCCACACTGCAGGGACTAGGAATTGTAGTTTTTAGAACAGCGTTTTGAGGGACTTTCTAAGCTTGTACTTAAGAGCAGGTACTCTCCCAGCTCAAGAAGGACCTCCAGTGAATTGTGCGGTGATTAGTCCAGATTTATAATTTTGTACTTTGTACTTTATTTTTATTATTGTTCCTATTGGTGGTGCGAATGCAAGCAGAAGAAAAAGCTCTGAAGGTATAATTCTCAGAGGAGCTATGCAATGGACAGTCCCCAAAACTGGTCTGAAAACATCTTATATTGTATGTTCATCGGGGAGAAAGAAAATCATCTGAGGTTTTATTGAGTTGGGTAGTTTTGGAGCGATTATCAGCTGTAAACCCTGTACGAACACCATAGTCTTAAATTAACAGGAACATTGTTGTTGTGCTGTCAAATCTTTCGGTATATATGCACCCACTGTCCCCAGTGGGACACTGTAGGCAAAAATGTAGGAACCTGTGAATGATTTGTTTTTAATTGAATTCTGGGCGAGAGAAATTAGTTTCTGTTCCAAAAACAACAGAGGGTGCAACCTGGAGTAGTGGAAATTGATGGTAATGCACCTGGCAGTGGAGGAACAGCAGTAGCAAGAAAACAAACATAGCATTGTAATAAAGAAATCATTCACAACAACAAGGATTTGAAAATGGGTGGGCGAATAGCATTGTCTTGGACTTTTTCCAGTTGTGGGAAAGAAGCATTGGACATATGAGGGCAGGCAGATATTGTTAAAATCAGTATCACAATATTATTTAACTATATTTATACATATCATTTATATGATATGACAAATGCATGATAATCACATATGATAGAGTTTTAATTTGCTTTTTAATTTGCTTGGAGTTAATTTAGACAGCAGAATTCAGTACAACATGATTTGATCATATCATCATAATATACAATTCAAGTTAATAAAGGCTAATATTGTCAGCCCCAGGACAATAATAGCACAGATTGAGTTGTTATTAGCCGTCTTTGTTATGTAAATGGCTTAGGGTTTATAATTCAATAATAGTGACCCAGGTTAACATCTGTAGAGGATTTCTTTATGCTGACACATTCACCCCTGAACATATGGAATAATAAACACCCACACACACACACTAGTTTTCTTACTAATGTGTATATACATATATTTCACACTTTCTTTTGGTAGTGTTAATGTCTGTTTCTCCTGCCAGTATAGCCCCTTTGAATTTAACTGAATTGAAATAAGTACTGTATACATACATACATACATACATACATACATACATACATACATACATACATACATACATACATACATATTTACATACATACATGAACATGATCATACAATTAGTATTTAATTAGACCCCCTGATATAACAGTATCTACACAAAGAGGCACGTACAGATGTAGAGAATTGAAGACTTTATGTGTGCACACTTATGTTGTTTCTGACTGTGGACATGATGGGCTGAATTAAACACACATACACACACAAAATATACAGACACACTGCTGCCATCTGTTGACATGCAGGACCTGTCAAGCCCCTCATTGTATCACTTGGACTCATTATCCGCAGTGAAATTACTGATTAAAAAACACTGAATAATGCAGGCCAACTTGTTCTGGACTGAAGGAATTTAATTAGCACCATCAATTAGTGCTCTAACAGAGATTTATTTTTTCATTCCTGTCCAAGACTTTGAGTTATAGATCAGCTTTTTCTCAGCATTTTTTGGGTCTCACAACTGATCACTGATATGAAATACAGGCCTGTTACGAGGATTAAAAACATTGCTGATGTAAATGAAACCTTTAAGAAAATCTGAAAACATCACCAAAATTATATTTAGCTGTTTTGTAATCTGGTTTTTCGGATTAAAGGACCAGTGTAGGGATGTCATGAGAACCGATACTTCGGTACCAAGTCGATAGCAAATTAAAAAGGAAGAAGTGCAGCTGCACAGGCGAAGCTTTTGTGTACAGCGCTGCGTTGTCAGCTCTAATTTATTCACGTTATCTGCAAAAAAAGATGTATAGACGACAAAAATAAACACTAAACAGAATACAGTTCATTTAGGTCACTCAGGTAAAGGTAAATGAAGCAACAAACACTGCAGGACACTTTTAAAGGGAGAGAGAAATACCCAGGTGACAGGGACAAGACAAAAAAGATTACAGAGAGTGTGTTAGGCTATTTTATAGCCTTAATTGTTATTTAAATATAAAAACATTAAGTAAGTCTTTTTTTCTTGATTCAATGTAGAGCTATAATTTACTTGTATTAATAAGAAAAATACATGTTCTGGATCGTGACTCGGTATCAGCAGATACTCTTGTGGCCAGGAAACTCACCTGAAACCCGTAAAACCCGTCTACAGCCAGTGTTTGGTTTGTCCGTTCTGGGATACTGTAGAAACGTGGCAGTTGAACGTGACAGCCTGTATAAAAGAGAACATGTTCCCTCTGTAAAAACAGCTCATTCGAAGGTCACAAAAACACGACTATTCCTTTTTTCAGGTGATTATACACTAATGAAAACATACCTATGAATATTATATTCAATTTCTGCCAACAGATCCTCCTAAATGTTACACACTGAACCTTTTTTTTTTAGCCTTTTTATCTTTACCTTTTTGTGTGCATTTGCAAATTTAAACGTTTCCTCTTGTTAGCCATGGATATTGTAAATTTATAACATTTATTAGCCTATTAAAATGTATATTCCGTAGGTGTTAATCATTTATCTGCTTGTGTCTCACAGTGGGGCAGATTTGCTGGCAGTCAACTCTGATGGGAACATGCCCTACGACCTGTGTGAAGACGACCCGACACTGGATATCATTGAGACGGCTATGGCCAACAGAGGTAGAGTATAAATGTTTGAAGAGATGACACGGCTGCAGACATTGAGGTGCATAAACAGTTTCCTTGAACTTATCAGTCCCACAATGCCTGCAGACAGATTGAATAAATACGATGAAGTAGCTTCTCCATGTACCATAATTATTCCATTGGAGGGAATGTGCTGTGCTGTGCTGTACTTTCTTCAAATTATGCCAGTTAGTGCTAACTTTTACCACTATCATTTTACCATTACAGGTTTTTTAACCTTCATAGTTCCCGTACATGTTTTTGCGAAGCTGAGAGTCATACTGGTGTTAAAGAGGTCCCTAATAACCACATGCACCGTTAAAACAACTGAATGTGGATCTAACCACTACTAAACATCTGTTTAGTGTTGCTACTCCTGTCAAGCTTTCCGTTCTCATTCGGCACATAATGCAGTTTACAATGATAACGGTGGCAGACTTACCACTAAATTCTTAGTTATTTCTTAGAAGTAGAAAAAGGCAGGTTTCTTATTTGATGACCTGTAGCTAGCTACCTAATTGAGCAAATATTAGCTCCATGAGTTCAGCTGACTTTTTAATGTTTCAAGCTGAATTGTTTTAAAATGAGAATCTTGGAAAAAGTGGCTGAAATATTTACTTGATGCATACAGAGTAGACTGCATGATATTGTGTTAAAGGCTAAAGCTGCATGCCTAACCTGTAACCCTACAAACTCATACTGTTGGTTAATAATGTGCTCCTTTGCTTTGAAAGTAATGCCTGGTTACCACTGTAGGTAGTATACTAATTAGCTGGACTTGCTACAGTTCCGGCTTATTTTAGAGCAGATAAACAGTTAATCCGGTTCCTCAGAACTCTTTTAGTGTTAGAGTAACTCTTACTATAGCACCAATACGCACATTTTTGGCATGTGGAGACATTTAAACCTTGACAGATCTACCAAGCCTTGTTGCTGCTAAGCTCTGATTGGCTGAAGGGTGTTCAATATTGCACAATTCTGCACATTTGACAGCTGTGTTTGACCCTCAAACCCTATCCTTACTTCTAACATACAGTATAAAGCTTTCTTAACCTCTGCCGCAGGATAAGAGAGTGTTTGTAGCTTCCTGCAGTCCTAAAAGTATGTCAACCGCAGGAACAGATTGTTGAGGAAGATGGCAGCGGGGTTGTGACCTGAGAAAGCACTTAGTGTCCTGCAGAGTTTCAGGATTGACACTTCGGGGGGAAGCTCTGAGATATTCACAGTTCTCTCACCCCCGACGGGATGCAGATTGGGATACTGTATCTTCATGCTGTATCACTGCTAACAGCCGCAGTCGGCCAGTTTATCTGTGTGACATGAAAAGTTGAAGGAGATCAGCGCTGACATGCACATCAGAGGAGGAAGGGAAGGGAAACACCCGCTGTGTGTGTTTTATGTTTTAGATCTGTTCGCATTTGTGTCGGTGTTTGTGTGATACAAAGAGAGACTGACACAAACAGAGTCGGGGTGACAGACAGCTTTATTTACACTGGAGTGAAATCACACTCAACCTTCTTAACATAAGCTCCGTCAATGTTTTGTTTTCTGTTTTCTAGTAAACGGTTACATCTACAGGCAGGCGTGTGCGCACACAGTTGGAAACCAAGCAACAAAGTCTGTGGCTGCAGGGGGTTTGAGTTTAGAGAAATACTGTAGTAGGAATGCCCAGACTGGCTCCTGTTGAGCATTTTGGGAGCTTATCCACTCTCTGGTGGACAGTTAGATGAGAACATTGTTATCACTTTAAAATACTGCAGTGTTGGGGGGCCCCAATAGCTCACCTGGCAGAGCGTTCGCCTCAAGTCCTAACTGCAGAAGCCCCGTTTCGATTCTGACCTGCAGCCCTTTGCTGCACGCCATCTCCTCTCTCACCCCCTTTTTCCTGTCTGTCGATGCCTCTCGCTGTCCAATTAAAAGCATAAAAACACAAAATAACTAATAATAATAAAAGCAATGCAGCATCCAAACTACAATTTTACTGTTTCATGGGGGGATGACGTGGACTATTTCTTGGCAGGGAGCTGTTGCCATGCAACCAGCAGAAACTTCAGTGAGTTAACTTCTCCCAGCCATGAAATAGTCTGGCACACAACAACATTGTTGCTTTTTCACTTAATCTTCGTAATGAATTAAACAAACGAGACTTAACATATTAATTAGTAAGCTTTATAAATGTTGGTAATGTATCTCATTAAGTTTCTATAAAATCAGAAATATTAAACAGCGGTATTAAATACTGTTTATACGTCCTTATCTAGACATTAGAAGTGAGTCACATATCAAACTGTTGAGCAAGGCTCTCTTCCAAGGCTGGATTTTTATTTATTAGCGTAAATGACAATTTTGAATGAGGTTTTCTTACTTCTGGAGCAGAACGTAGAGGTTTCACAGTTTCACTTCAGCTCTCTATAGGGATCTACTTTCAGGACAACCTGTGGCTAATCAAACTAGCATCTTGATCATCTGCACACACCCGTTTGTTTACATGTTTGAGGCTATGGGTTGCTGCCGATATAGCATATGTACATGCTAGAGAAGTAGCAGCAAACAATTTTCCTTGGTCAAGGTGCCCTTCAGCATAATAGTAAATCCCAAATGCTTTAGTTGAGCTGCTCAGTGGTAAACAGGAGAAAACTGATGTGTGGAAACAGGCTGCTGCTGGAGAGCACCATGAGTGCTCAGTCATATTTCCCTGACTAATTAAAAGGTCAAAAAAGCCCTGTTATGTTAAGTACCGATTGTAAACAAGTGCAGGGTTAATGATTTTGATAGTTTAAACAGTGTAACAGTGCATGACACCAACATCGTGTGAGTTTCATCCTGGATGTGAGACAATATTAGAAACTCACATAGACAGAGAGAGGGTGGGGGCTTGGAGAGGGAAAACAGAGACAACCGAAAATGAGGCTCTCAACTTACAATAGGGCCTCTCAAACTGCTGAATGCAAATAGCGGTACAGTAGGTGAGGAGAATGATTATTAAGCCTATCAAAGGGAGAGCGGCGCTGCTAATTGCTCCCGTAAATGTTCTCAGCACTGTACTGCTGGATAAGACTTCTCTCTCCAGAGATGCTGCAGGGATGGGCACAGAGAAACACACACACACACACACACACACACACACACACACACACACACACACACACACACAGAGCACTTCATATGCAGCATCGACTGATCTGGCTCTTCCTTGATCCTCCCCCTGCAGAGCCCAGTTCATCTGTGATGAGCCGCAGTGATAAGGGGGAAATGTCTACTAGGAACTGAACCAGTGAAATAAAATGGGAAATGTGATAGTGAAACAAACTGGCTGCACAGCTAATATCATTTTGTATCCCTAATAATGGAGGGATAGAGAAGTCCAGTTAACCTCATAGACTATTGATAAACATGGCCGTAGCATTAGTGATGTCACACATAAGATTTGACTTCATCCTAAACTTCGTAACTGCCTAGAGGCCAAATTAGAGACTCTAGGTAGTAACAGATAAAATAAGCAACAGATTAATGAATAATGAAAATAATCCTTTATTACATCCCTAATTCAATTTGGATTACTTTCTTTCTTCCATCTTCCTGGAGCTATAATCTTTGGTGAAAAGGGAAGGAAGCATGAGAATGGAACTAATGTGGAATGAGTTTGTGTCACTGGTACAACTGTTAATCAACGCCCCCAAAACATACTTCATGTCAGACTTAAAATATTAACATGGGAGGGAGGTTTGGACATTTTTTTATTTTAATCAAGTATCTTAAAAATATAATACGTAAAATTTCCACATTAAAATGTCGATAAACACTAGACCTGTTATATATTTTATTGAGTTGTTAAAACTCAGAGAAATCTGAAATTTTATTCAGGTAATGGTCTGTTCACTGGTCGCCTGTCAATGGTGTCATATCCCATTTGTGAATGTGTTGTGGTTGACTTTTTATCCTGTTTTAAGCCACATTTTTATGACAGACTTTTTAGATCTTGGTTTTTAACTGTATTTTAACCTGGTGGGGGATTTTTGTCATTGGACGTCTGCATCTTAAGTTATCAGAGAAACAAGCTGAGCTAACGTTAGCAGCAGCTTGTCAAAATAGATACAAACAGAGTTGTTACATTCGGCCACAATTAACAGTATGCAGCCATCCGTCAGTGAGCCGATCTTAAAAATTAAATTAGAAATAATTAATTAAAAGTATTGTCGTCATTGCAGAAAACAGCTATATTTAAAGTTCAGCCAACCTGATATCCAGTGTGAGAAGTTAGGAACTACATGCTCGTTCATAGATGTGGATTTAAGATGTTTGAGAATTTTTGTTCCTTAGGATTTCGTGGGATCAGTTAGATTTTCAGTTTAAGGCTCTTCTTTGTTATTTATGTGATATATTGACAGTTTTCTCACTTTACTCCTTTGGGGCATTGCTAAGCTGTGAGGCATCACTGTAGCTAAATCAAAATATGACAGAAACAAGCAAGTAAAATTTGTAATATTAGTACCAGAGAGATTCATGCTTGCTAGCAGGAACAACAGAAAACACAGAGGAAAATAATAGCTGGAGGGATGCATTTCATTTAAATCGACAAAGGGGGACTGTCATCGTCCTGATTCCTGTGGTTTTAAACACCCTCCAGCTGTGATTTTGATTGTAAATTCAGAGAGAAATACCAGGTTACCCACCCACCATTTTTCAGCACCTTTATCACAACTACTGGCCATCACATGTCAGTGTGGGCCATGAGAGTGTGACATTGAAACAGGAGTTTGGCATTAAAATGGCAGGCTGGACGCTAAAATGTTAGTTGAGTAGATGGATTTGCCTCCAGCTTCACTTGCCCAGGTTCAATTTATAACTCAGTGTCACGAGAAAGGTCGTAGGGCTGAAATACTGTCAGTAACATATGCACAGTCAGGGCATGCATGTCTACTTTTACTTTTTATTTCAAGTTGAGCCCAACTGATATGGGAATTATAGACCGATACCGTTAAGAAGGAAAACATTCACTGATCATGGATTTGATATGAGGTATTTTTTTATTATTTTTTAACATGTTAAATAATTCAACATATACATACATTGTTAACCAATTCTAGTTGGCATTGCTGAGAGCTGCTTCTTCTGTTTTATTCTGTGCTGCTACAGTATTGTAAATCCCTGCACAGCCTCTGTTCATATTCCTCCATACTGGACAACATGTACACCAATACTGATATGATACCAATTTGTCAGCAAAAGGACAACATCGGTTGATAATGATGTATCACTGTAATTTCAAGTAAAAGTGGACAGCTTCAGGTGATTCTCCTTCAGAGAAAATAAATGTATATTTAAATTTCAACTTTGAGCTATCATTTCCAGCATTTTAAGGACAGTTAGAACATTTTCAAGTAACAATTTCAAACATTACTTTTTTAATGAAGGAATGTACATAATCTTATTGGCATCCACAATGTTTAAACAAATAAATTGTAGCTTTATTCCTCATCCATCCTTTGAGTTTACTCACATATTCAGTCACACACTGCGAGAGTACAGGAGTCACAGTTCTGATTGACATCTGTCATTTCTTTAAATTTCCTGGACAGTACAGGACATTACTGCTGAGCTGTGGGAGAAGAAGTCAAGTGTGGCGGTCACAGTATTGAGTCCTACCTGGCAGCAGGGTGGTGGATTAAAGGAGGAATTTAGAGTAGCTGTGACAGACAGAATCACCTGAGCTTCAGCTGGGCCAAAAACCACAAAACTCTTTGCCGAGAGATGGTTGAAAAGCCAGAATAAAAGTGCATCAAAACTCAGATATTTAAGATCCAAAAACTGCTCTGGCAGCTCTGTATTGATCCTACAAATGGTGTGCCCCAAGTGAAAACATTGAAATAATTGTTTGAAAATGAATTAGTTTCCTATAACCATCCACATTTTTTTTCATTTTTAGTCAGAATGTTAGAAATTACTCATGTCCAAGTTATTTCTTCCTACCTTGAAACCTCAAACTTTAAAAGCTTTTATTACGGAATCCATTATTCGTTTCTTAAAAAAAACATCAGTGTGATTTAAAAAATCTGTCAATCCAGAAAATGAAGTTCACTTTTTGAAGTAAATTTTTTGGTACAGAGCAAACATTAATACCGGCATGAAAGAACTGTCTCCCTTGTGATTAACGCTGTGGTTGTGCTTGTGCTTGTGTATTTGATTGACAGGCATCACCCAAGAGATGATCAATGAGACACGAGCGTCAACAGAGAGGAGGATGCTGGGAGACATTCAGGAACTGCTGACACAGGCAGAGGAGGTCAACCAACAGGACTCTCAGGGAGCCACACTGGTAAGCTTTTTCTCCACCAATCTCAATTCAAAACAAGCTGACTAAATGTTTTTAAGTTTAAAAAAAAGTTTTAACTTTTTTCAAGTTTATTGTCTTTTCAACTCTTAAAAAAATAGATGAATTTCTCTTAGGATCAGGGTATAAAGAAACTAACATAACATCAGACAAAACACAAAAAACAGTACAACAAAGGTACAAAACTTTGAGTTTTCTTGTGCATACAACAGGGTAAAACCATTAACTGAGATAACAATATAAACACATACAAAGAAGCAGTTAAAATGATGTAAGATGACCAGTATTATATGTGTGTATTAATTGTTTTTATAATGGACCATATTAGTTCAAGGCTCATTGTTTGGGGATAACACAAGCAAACATTATATGAGCTCTGAAGCTAATGAAAACTCACCCCTTCCTGCAGCTGCTTCAAAGTAGAAGCAGTTCTCTTTACTGGGAGACTTTTATTTTGAAGCAGCTGGAGGAAGGGGTGAGTTTTCATTAGCTTCGGAGATCATATATAATGTTTGCTTGTGTTATCCCCAAACAGTGAGCTTTAAACTAATGTGGTCCATTATAAAAACAATTAATACACACATATAATACTAGTCATCTTACATAATTTGAACTAATAATAACAACACCATTAACGACCAAAACTGCCACTTCTTGAGACATTTTTTCCTCCTCTGGAAAGCTCATTTTAAAAAAAGTCTAAAACTACCTGGTCAGTAACAGTGTTTGGATTGTGACATTCAAAGCTGAACCAGGTGGATGCCGTCACAGGCGGCTGTTTTCAGCATCCAGGCTTCACTCAACTCCACCCACGCTCCACATATTTGCTAATTTTTTGATTGAGTAAATATGTGACTGAGCTTCTCACCGACTCTTCTGATACCTATGGGTGCCATTACAGAGACTACGTCCATTTTTTATTATACAGTCTATGATTGACACCAGACTGAGTGCATCCATGCAGTTTATGTGCACCGACACCTTTGTTATGTTGCCACAGAAACTGGGATTTATTAAATTTTGATTCAGCTGCAAAAACGCACACAACTCTTATCAAATTATCAAGCATCACAGGTCTGCACTGAGAGGAAGAAGGAAATGCTGTGTAAATATTCAGGAGACCATCTTTATTATAGATTCACCTTTTAATGATTATGTGCTCTGCAACACTGGCTCACGAGGCTATAAAACCTTGAAAGCTAATCAGGCATTTAGAGACTCATTATGATCTTCTTAAAGGCAAATCAGCTGTATGATTTTAAAACGCTCTGCAGATATAAAAGTGATGCGTTAGTGATCAGCACTAAACACACCTGCAGTCATGAATTAAAAACTATGTAACAGTAGATTGGAATAAACATGTAATAATACAATACAATACAATAAAATACTATAATTCATTATGAGAATCTAAAAATCTACATTTTATCACAGAATGCACAAACATAAAGATCAGATTGGAAATGTATTTAAAATCCAAAAGAGTTGTTTCATAGCTGCTGAGTGAGACAGACACGGCTATCTAAAATGAAACACTATCTACCATGAACCTGATAAATAAGCACAAAGCTTGCTCTTGCAGAATAAAAGATGTCTATTAATAAGAAATGATTGTATTTGAAACAAAACATAAAAGCTTCAAACATAATGACTCCTCATGAATTAACAAATATGTCAGGAAAAAAATCAAAATCAAAGAATGTGACGATGTCTGTGACATAATTTGAGCAATAACCAAACCTTAGCTGATGTGATAATAAATTCATGAGACCTGTAGCTGTTGTAGGTTTGCATTGGTAAGCCAATAAAAGAGCACTTGAGACACATTGTTATAGTTTGATGTGGGCTTTATATTTTGCATACTATCAGTTAAGATACACGGCTGTTTATCTGCATTCAGTTCTGTGGTACACACAGGACCATAACACTGTTACAAGATACACTCTTTTGCAGTGCCCACAAAAATTAATTATTGAATCTTTTCTGCTGAGACTTTTCACAGTTTGGTACGTACTGGGTGGTATGTTGTGCTTCCAGGAAATAGCCACAGCCTGGTACTTGTGGCCTTTCTCGTCTTTTCAGGTTTTACTCTCCATTTACAAAATGGAAGCATTACAGACTCAATTCAAAACATGAAATAAATAACTTCACAAAAATAAAAACTTGTGGAGATATAAATCAATTTGCTCCAAAGACACTCCTATCATGTCCCCGCCTGAACCCACCATGTCTAGTCCTGGTCGGAGCTGCTGTAAACCCTGTGAAGCCGTGTTTGATCCCGGCCATGGTCACTGGGAGGCTGATTAGCAGTTAGCACATCCAGCAGCGATGTGTTTACAAGAGAAAAGGTCTATGTTGCAACAATCCCCTGATACTTTCGTCCTGGTAGCAAGTCGCAGCTCCCGTTTTTTGGTTTTCTGCGAATAGCCGACTAATCAAAAGTGCGTAGACTAAGACTCTCATCTCACACTTCTCATCAACTAACAGCTGACTCAACTATTAGAAGAACAGCACTAATATGAGGACACTTTATTTTGCTTTATATAGTGAGTCACAGCCACATGCAAGTCTTGTTTTAGTATTTATGGGAAAGTGTATCGAATAAAGTTGTCAGTGAATTAGTTTTGTTTATAAGTTCAGTCCACTGATGCATTAAAAAGTCAAGTAGGGCACAAAAAATCATTGGCATATAATTTCCTGAGTAGAGTGTATAATGTCAGATGCCTTAATGAAGTCTTTATTATGTATCAGGGATTTAGCTACGTTGAGGAAACACAGTGACAAATCACTGGATGAAAATAGCCTGGGGACATTACATGGTAGTAGCCCAAAATAACCTTGTTAAGCTTTAAAGTCTTACCACAGATTGTCTGATTGAGCTGCTTGTCCCCTTGCTTGATGCGTTCTGTTAATCTTCATTCGAGCATGATGAAGCAAACTAGAGCATGCCTTATTAAAATCTCTGGCAAAGACGAGAGGAAGAGACCTGGAACTGGTAGGAAGTTATGTAAGGTTAATCTTTTGTTTTCCACTGAAATACATTTTGTGTCCTTGTTTTGATGTGCAGGATTTTCATCTCTTTGTGGCGGCAAATGGGTTGATCAGACTCTGGGAGGAGAAAAACACAGAAACACATGTTGGTGTGACAAACTCTCATTGTAAAAAAAACCAAAGGATCAATTTACACCAAAAACACTGTAAAAATTTAAATTTTACAATAACTGAGTACATAAATGATCTTATTTTATAAATTAACTCAACTAAAATCACTGTTAACTTGAAACTGAGTCCAGTTCTTACATTAATACCATGTGAATAAATAATTATTTGCAATGTTTTTCACAGGTAACAGAATAATATGATTCATACTGACAGGCAGATTTTAGTAGGCATGTTTAGTTTGTATATACACAGACATTTCAAGTGCTTTACATAATGCATTAAACAATTAAACAGGAAATCCAACGTAAGACAATAACAATACTAATTAAAAAGATAGAAACCATTTGAAAAGAAATAAAAAAAATACAAATCTATCAGTTAAAAGGGAAGATAGAGTGCTTTCTGTTACAATTTGTATGGAAGGAAAATCATTTATCCATCCTATAAACACATCTATCCTCAGTCACAGGGGGAGATCCAGAACAGGTAGTCAGTCCCTCACAGGGCCAACACACATAGACAGACCCGGACACCGTACACGATCATACCCAGCAGCAGTTTAAAATTTCCACCTCACCTAGAGGGCATGTCTTTTAACTGATGGCCAAAAACCGGATAAGACAGCGAGAGCTTATCCCAACATGCTTTGGGCAAGAGGCAGGGTACGCCCCAGACAGGCTGCTAGTGATACTGTGAGAGGAAACTGAAATGCTCTGAGGAAGCCATAGCAAAAACAGGGACATTATGATTTTTGGCATTTGTGATGCCAGCAGTGTGGCTCTAGGGATGTGAAATGCCAGTCGGTCCACCACTTTGGTCCAGAAGGAAATATCTCAACAATATCTTCGGTGATAGTTAGTTAGTGGTAATTAGCAGATATTAGTATGCTGACTAAATGTTACGTCATTGAGAACAGTGTTAGCAAGCTGACATTAGCTCTGACAAGCAGTTCTGACTGAGTATACTGGCCCCTCATCTCCCTACCCTCAGACTTTCTTTCATTTTCACCCCCCAACCGATGCTGACTTAAGTGAGTGAAAGTCCTAAGAGAAGAGAAGTTTGAGGCAATTTGTCCAATTTTGAGCAGCTCCCTGTGGAGGTACAAAAGGATTTATGCAACTTTTTTTTCACATAAGCAGTTGTACTTCCCAACACCAGTTAGCAGACTTATCAGTGAGGAGGCTTTTATTGTGTAATGATGCTGTGTTTGGTCCAATAATACAGGAACCTGAAATGATTTTCAGTGTTTTGGAAACAAAAGCATCAAATCCTCTATTAGCTGCTTTGCATTCTCATTCTCAGCACCATCCGAAAGGCAATAAAACCAGACAGACCCGAGGCCCCCAGGAACTGATGGATCTCAACATTCCTGATATGCTTTAAAGATGTCCTCTTATTGTAGCACCTCAGATAAACATCCACTTACACATGTCTGGTACTCAAAGATAATTGATATAACTGATGTTCTATGAAGCCTGACTTCAAGCCTTCACTTTGTGCTTTCCAATTATTTTATGTTTTGCTGTAGATACATCTACTGTGGGTTATAAACATTGTGAACTGACAGAAAAAGATGCTTTTAAAAGACACCGAGACATATTTAAAACGCAGTAATTTAAGTGCTCTATATACATGTGGCAGCAAACTCCATGTCCTGCTTTCTGGGAGACAGCTAAAGAACACTTTTAAATTACAATGGCTGCAGTTTGTAAAAAGGAAATGCTGCCTGTAATTACCTTTTATAGGTCACTGTTGGTTTTGTTTGCATGAATTAATTTATTTTCTTTAACGTCTCGGTTGCAGTCCTCATTTGATGTATTTCAGTGAGTCGTTAGAAAATGATGGAAATCACCATATTAAGAGCATGTGTCTGAGCCCCTGCAGTGCACAAGGGCTGTGATACTCCTCTGCCAGTTATAGTACATCCTAATTTCCGCATGAGGATCAATAATGTTGGATCTTATGTTGTGAGCATTTTTCTCTCGCATCGTCACCAGTTGCTCAAACTCTCCAGTGATGGAAGTCTTAACCCGCTTGTTATTTCAGACCAGCCATGTTTGAGTTTCAGTGGGGCGTAAGGTTATTGATATGGCAATGAAAGAACCCTGCCTGAGAAATCATCAGGTTTCCTATCTGATATAGATGAAATAAAGGCTGGCACTGGCTTCATATTATGCTTGTAGGTTTCTCAGACAGATTCACAGTCATGTGCAGGCTAGGACAAGAAAATCTCCATAAAAACCCCTTCAATTAATCTTGATTAAGCCCTTACAACAAATTGCACCCAAAAATGTCTAAATACCTAAAAGAAGCCCTAACGTTCAATAAACACACCTTTAGTATTGAGCTTGTTCATTTTCTATCCCTTTGTTTCGTCTAAAGGTAGCTTTAAGGTTGTTAAAATCATCTTACAGCACTTTCTTTGACAGGATCACATAAATACATATATATATGTTTCAGCTTCTGTAGCTTATGTAGTTTATTAATCCGTCAGCAAGTTTTAATGGCAAAAAATCAATAGTTCCATTTTCTGAAATGTTAATATTTAGTGGGTTTCTCTGTGATAGCAAATTGAATTTCAAAAGTCAAAGAAAACTATTTTAACATGTCACCTGCAGTTAAGGGATTTTGTGACGGTCATATTTAGTATATATTTTAGTAAAGTATGGTATTTCCTCTTGAATTTAAAGAAAGGAACTATGAGGCTGAATGTTTGGCTGTATAACACAAGTATGTATTGACTGGCCTGGTGCTCAGTAATTCTCTATTTATAGCTCCTGGTACAATTGTTTCCTCATACAGATACCTGTGGTCATCTCAGGCCGGCAGGATCAGTTTTTATCTGTAACTGTTAATGAAGTTCAGTTTATAAACTGCTGAAGAGCTGTTCCAGCAGGACCCACCACCCCATCAGTTTGAAATCATGGGAGAGCCTTTTTACAATTATTGTGGACCTAGTTTGACAAAACATTAGTGATTGAAGGTGCCCAGTGACATCCCCACATCGCCATACTTGGATGCAAGTCAATATTTTGATGTCTCATATGGTCAGCAGTTTTGAGTACACAACATTTAAAATTGTGGCTTTAGTGTGAAATCTACACTGGAGTTTACACACAGAGGCCGATCTATAGCAAATCCTGTGAACTGGAATAACCTAATCATTGTTCCCCCTCTGTCCTTGCAGCTCCACATCGCAGCAGCAAATGGCTACGTGCAGGCTGCAGAGCTATTGCTGGAGGGGGGAGCTCGAATGGACCTGAGAGACTCAGATGGATGGCAGCCTCTTCATGCTGCAGCGTGCTGGGGTCAGGTAAGGTAAACATAACAGGAAGCAGGAAACCAATAAGCACACACAAGCAAAGGTTTCTGAAACCATTAACGTAATTTGCTTTGTTGTTGTTCCAGATGCATGTGGCAGAGCTGCTGGTGTCTCATGGAGCCAGTCTCAATGCGAAGACCTTCCTGGAGGAAACCCCCATCGGTATATTTACACCTCAGCACTCTCTTATCAATACACCTGGTTGGAGGTTAAGATAATGAATGTCTTATCTCAGCAAGGTCTCACTTCCAGCTTATTCAGTCAATGCAAGTTTTACAAATACTGATTTAAATCTTGTCAAAGCCAATCTAAACCTTTTCTTTGCTACTTCTGTTACTAGTTATGTCAGAATGTAAATTTTTAGCTGTCTTGATGGTTGGTAAATTAGAAAATGGTAAAATTTTACAACTATATGGTCCAATATGTAGGATTTAGTGGCATCTAGTGGTATAGTTGTATATGGCTACCTCACTCTCTTCACCCTCCCCTTCCAAGCATGAGGGAGAAACTACAGTACGAGAACGTGCAAAAAGTGCGAACGGCCCTATCTAGAGCCAGTGTTTGGTTTGACTATTCTGGGCTACTGTAGAAACAACAACCACAACAATTCCTATATTCAGATATTTATACACTAATAAAACATAGTTATAAATATTATATTATATTTCTGCCATTAGAGCCTCATAAATGTTACACCCTGGACCTTATATATGTTGTATATGTTAACAGTCAGCATGAGAGACTAGTAGCATTGCTAAGGATTTAAATTCCTTTTATGATCCTTGTTTTGTTCTTTTATTTGTAAGAGAAGCACAACAAACACAGTTTCATTTTAAAAAGGACTGACATCTCCTGTCCTTCATCCTTCTCATTTTAAGATCTGTGTGAGGATGAGGAGTTCAGAGCCATCCTGCTGGACCTTAAACACAAACACGACATTATCATGAAGTCACAGCTCAAACACAAGACCTCACTGTGTAGGCGAACGTCCAGTGCAGGCAGTCGTGGGTAAGTGCTGACATCTGCTGGTGTTACTGCTGCTACTACTACAAGTGGTGTTTAGCATTGTTTTGTACAAGAGACAGGGAAGATCAGCAGATCAAGACACACTGTACTTACAGCTCCCACTTAGTTGAATCTAATAGTATATTTAATATTCAAATCCTTGACAATGAAGGGACCCATCAGTACAGTGTGCTGATCTTTTCTCAGAGTTTTTGTAAATGTTTTTTGGATGTGCATGCTCCACTGTTTATATGAGCACATCAGCCTCCCTTAATCTAATCTCTAACTTTAATTTGTTAAGTATAAGCAATTCCAGACAGTATGATCTAGAAATCAGTACGGTAATGCATTGCAATTGCACTTAAAAGATTCTTTATTCATATCCGTTGCCATGTTTCATTCTATACTTGTACTAACTCAGTGGAAACCTCCGTGTCTACAGAAAAGTGGTGCGGCGAGCCAGCCTGTCCGACAGACACAACTTGTGCCGTAAAGAGTACGAGACTGAGGCCATCGTGTGGAGGGGAGGTAGGGAGGAGGAGGATGAAAAAGAGAAGGAGTCTGATCAGGAGAACAACCAGGTGGTTCATGTAAGTCTTCAGGTTATTCTTCTTTTATTCTTGTAACTAGTTCTTTTAATAATTAGTTCTGTTACAGTTTTAAAAGGCGCATTTGACAATTCAACCTCCATTTGTGGTGTATTTTTTAACTTCCTGCACATAACTCATATATACAACATAATGAAATTAGATATTTTTAGCACAAATAGGAAGGTGTGTTTAATATCAGGAATATAACCGTCTCTGCCATACACCAGGAGTCTAAATGTCAGATTTTGGTGTAGGTGTATCAGAGATAAAGATGTTTCCTTAAAACCAGTCACACAGGAAGAAACCCACAATGGAAACAGTAGAGTCAACAGATAAAAATGCAGCATGGTCTCATAGTATTTGAAGTGAAGAGTGCTACAGCTGCTTTTCCACTACTGGAAAATAAAATGCTGTCTTGCTCTAGTTATGCAGTCACTATTGTTAAGCTTAAGCACATTAAGCACACAGGATTTAAGAGAAATAAAGGCAATCATGTTCTGAAATGGAGGTATGATGGAGCAGGTTTGTGGAAAAATACACCAGAAAAGTACATTTCAACCCTTTGTCACAAAAGAAGAAAAAATACATTGAATACAGATTTCTGAGGGGAAACTCTTGAAAAAACTGGCTTTACATCTCATTTTATTTGAGCTAGATAGCTTGGGCACCAGATCAAAGATATCGGATCTCCCCCTGCAGAGGAGTCAGGCGTCCACGTATTTAATCATCCAAAAGAAAAAAAGCCTTATAGCGGGATTAACGTAATCTTTGTTGATGTCCTGCAGGTCAAGCCAGTCGTGGCTGTGGAGCTGCCAGACAAGCCCAAGCTGCCCACCATCCTCAAAGATGGCAATAGCAAACAGAACGGCCTCATCTCCACAACAACGTCCATGCCACCGCAACAGCCTGCCAATGGCAACACGCCATCGTCTGATAAGGGCGGGGTCATCACCACCCAGCCCACCCAGGAGGAAGCCTGGCCAAGAGAGCGCGCTCAGACTCTGTCGGAGCTCAAAAAACAGAGGGCAGCCGCCAAACTGTTGAATCACCCCTTGTTCAACGGTCACCTAGGTAACGGCTCCACAGACTCCTTCACCGATGCCAAAACCAACTCCGAGGACCCCCGCATGCCGCTGGTCTCCTCCAACGGCAACGCGGTTTACTACACACCGGCCAGCGGCGACCCGCCCCTCCTCAAACTGAAACAGCCAATGGAGGAAGAGCAGCCGAAGGCGCGGACCTGCTGCTGCGTGTCATAGCGCTTTGGTCATGTGACTGTGACAGGAAATGTTTGCACAGAGAACAGGGAAGCGAGGAATGTGCTGTAGGAGGGAGGAGAGGGAAGGAAGGAAAGAGGGAGTGCTCCTGTCTTTTGACATCCTTTCTCTCCCCTCCTTTTAACTTCTCCCAGAGAAGATGGCTGACTTGAAGAAGGTTTAGAAACTTATCCTTGTACCTCCCTGCCATGTGACTCCTCCCCCAAATGCAGGCGTGTTTCAAGTGAAGAAGAGAAGAGGAAAGAAACTAAGCAGTGCCACTTCTTTCCTCCGGACGCCACTTTGATTAAAATTCCTTCTTATGTATGGAATCTCTCTACAAGACATGCCAAATGGATAGAAAGAGTGCAAGAAGCTGTTATTCTGTCCCCGCTGTCCCTGTGCACCTTAAGAATCAAGGTGTGGACAGTTTTTTTTATAAGCTTTTCACCTGGAAAGGGTCATACATTCTGAATCAGGAAAGTAGAGAAGAGCTCAAGGTACAAAGTGCATGTTCTGCCCTCAGAGACAAAGACAGAAAGTTTTTTTTATCCTACATACGGATGGTTATCATGGAATTAAACAGCATTTCCTGCAGGGCAAACTCACATTGTTATCAAACCACAGTGTTCTGCTTTTTTTTTTTTCCCTCATCTACTCGTCATGTGCAAGTAGGTCATCGCAGAACAGTCCACATGTATCGCGTTACGTCACGTTGTACTGCAACATATCAGAAACAGCGAAAACGTAGCAAAAATAGAGATCTGTGACATCTCTTTTGAAGTATCTATCATGTTAAACTGCTGCCTGCATCAGTAAAGGGAAGGAATGCCATAAAACAGTGTTAAAATTTTCAGGAAGTGTACTTCTGCAGCGAGAGATAACAGGAAAGAGTATAGTAGTGCACTAGTGTTTGAGACTGTCACTGTATTCTGTCGACTATACTTCACCTCACCGTCCTCTCATATCAAACCTGAACTGACAGGTCATGCTTTGTTTTATGCATAACCCACTTTGTGCTCTCTCGTTTAGATAATTTAAGCAGAACATGGTTGAAATTTACTGTACATTTCTTTATTTATGAAATTAATGTAATGTGTAAAAAAAACAAAACATCATGGTTCCTAAAGTTGAGTGTATTTATTATTTGGATGGCGTGTGGAGAGCGTGAATGCAATATGAGATGAGCTGGGGAGTCTCCCAGTAAAGCACCTTCTGACATGGAAAATCAAACATTCGACTGATAAAGTGAAGTGAGGGTTACTGTCTGTTATATGTACATGTTATTAAAATCACACACACAAGCCATTCTCTATTGGGATGGATGTCATATTTGTGTCACTACAAATAACAATGTTATTTGTTTATGTTTTAGTTTTTCGTTTTTTCCGGTGGCCATTGTGTGGCTTTATTTCCTCCCAGTCACTGTATTTGTTAACAGCAATTGTAAATGTTATGTAATGAATTACTGTAAGTATAATATGAGTTTTCCGAAGAGAGTCATGGACTCTATTCTTGCCTCAGTTTAAAAAAAACAACAACTAATCATTAATCCACACCTTAAATGCATCATGGGATCAACAAAAAATATAAACTGCTTCATTAAAATTGTTTGACATTTTGGGAAATATGGTTATTTGCTTTCTTGACGATAAGAACGATAGCACTCCCATGTCTGTACGCTCGATACGCAGCTGGAGCCAGCAGCTGCTTAGCTTAGCTTAGCATAAATACTGGAACAAGGGGGAAACAGGCTTTGTGCAAAGCTAACAACCAGCCAGAGTTATCATAGTTTTGTATTTTTCATTAGTTCAAATTTCTGTTTTTAATTCAGTTTAGTTTCAGTTAGTTTCCTTCCGACAGTTGGTTTGTTTCAGTTTAGTTTCAGTGTTCGTTTTTTTTAAATAATAATATGGAAGCTTTTTGTCATGGGCAAGATTTAGGACTTTCAAAATAGATATCAAAACACAAACACTTTGTGACAGCAGCCTTGGACCTAGCTCACCTAAATGGAATATGGCCTTCATAAATGTTATTAAATACTCTTGCTTTTCCTCCTTTGACACATCGAATATCTGCCTTGAAAAAGTGAGCTTTAGAGGGGATTTTTTAAACCTTTTTAATGAGCCATGTTAGCCGTTTCCCTTGTTTCCAGTTTTTGTGCTAAGCTCCAGCTTCACATTTAACAGAGAGACATTAGAGTGGTACCAATATCCTGATCTTACTCTTGGCAATAAATTAGCATATTTTTCCCAAAATGTCAAACTACTCCTTTAATCTTCTTGTGAGTGCCAAAGAGTCTTCCGTGATTTAAAAAAAAACGACTTATAAGGACATTTAAAAACTTTGGGGAAGGCTTTATTTGCCGTTATACAGATTTGTTTGTTTGAGAGCCAACCCCATTAAACATGCGATTACCCACAATACCACTTTATCCCAAAAACATCAACTGTACAGTGTCAAATATTTGTACAGATTCGTTTGTAAATACGTTTGTATTAGGATCCCCCTTATCTGTTCCCATGAACTGCATTTACATGTCTGTGTTGTTACTGTTGAACTTATAGGAAAATGCAGTTACCCACATTGAACAGTATTAGCAGACATTTGGTTGTTTGAGGAAGCTGTGAGTCTATGTAGACCCCCCCCCCTTAGTAGTCCAGCAGTCTAAAATCTATCTGTAAAGTGGAGTGCACCCCGGTGTCATTGTCATACTTAGTGTTTTCCCTCTGCTCTTGCGGTGACCAGTGTCTGCAGTTGACTTTGTTTCTGTGCAAATTTCTGCAAAAGGTCAGTTTATAAATGTTGTGCTCTCATATAAAGCAGGTTGCTTTTCCAACTCAAATTGAGGACGTACAAATTAAGTTGCAGTCAAAAAGGTTGCTACATTGCCTATTTTTGGTTCCTCGTTTGTTTAGGAAGTGACCGAGACAGTGACATCATCTTGTTATGAGTCAGCTGAAATTCATTGAAGTTACTCCAGCTCACGTCTGTGCGTGCTGCTGCATCATTTCAATTCAGAATTCAGCTCTGCCTCCCTATCAATGAAATCGATTACTTTGAATAGTAATTTGAAATTAGGACCTGGTCAGTATTAGCTAGAAAGGGACAGTCACCTGTGTTCTCATGATATATGTGAATATATATCAAAGCTTGTGTTTGTCTGCAAGCCTCATTGTCTATAAAAAGGATAAGATTATAAAGACAAAAAAACTACTGATTTTGTAATTACTGGAATATATTGATGGTTGCATTAACACATTTTGAATAAATTGTATATTTTGAGAATTTTACGTGGTCTCTTCTGAATTAGTAAAGCTCTTTTGTGTTGTGAAGTACAATGGATTCCTTACTATTTTTATTTGCCCTGCAAGCCTGGACACAAGCAAAAATGCCAAACACCACTGGGGCCAGCTTCTCGAGTCTGATGATTTGATGCTTTTCTCTTTAAAATCACTGTAGATTGAATATTTTGGACTCTTGGTTTGATGTAACAAGATATTTGGAGAGGCATTTCATAGACCAGACAACTAATTGAGAAAATAATCAGTAGATGGAAAAACTGCTTTAAAAGTGGATCCATAACTTTTAAAAGCACCATTATTTTCTTTAAAATGGATTCAGACTCTTTATTACTCAAGTCAGATAAATATACTGTACGCATCTCACGTTTGAATGCTGCATGATAGTTACAAACAATTTATTTCACCCTGAGACGTCTGCTTTCTCTGCTCTACTTCTACAGCTCCTTTTTGTTCTGAAACAGGCAGAGGCTGGACTGTCCTTCACCACACAGCTGTCAGGGTCTTGGCCCAGCATCAACTGCTTCCTTCAATGATTTTCTGTGTGTGTTTTTTTCCCCTCCACTCTCTTTGTGAACTTCCTCTCATTCACTGGCTCTGGGGTCAGCAGGGTCAGTGTTTCTTCAGGCTGCACCCAGCAGTCATTGCTCAGACGCACAACAGTTGGGTTAGAGGGATGAGAAAAGAAGATAGTTTAGAAAAGTTATATTTTCTCTAAGGATATTGTGAGCTACATCTTTTCAGTCAGTTCATATGGAAAGCAGCACCAGCCACTGCTTCACTTTCTTCAGTTTTCAGTTTCATTGCTGTTGATTTTAAAGGGAGTGACCTTTTGGCACAGCTATAGTTGTCCGCCTTTTATAGAGAAGCTTATCAGTATTTACAGTACATTAGGTGGTCACATAAATCAGTACTTATTGGCTAATGTGTCAGCTCAGGGATTTGAGAGGTTACAGTCTCGTGTCACAGTGTCTTGAGCAAATGTTGGAAGTCATCACCCTTTCATCTGAAGCTCCCTGTGGGCACATTCAGTATGTCTAAGGCATATAGACAGAGAGGAGGACAATGGTGCTGAAAACACATGATCTGGACTGCATTAACCTCCTCTGCGTGGCCTGGCTTTGCTATTGTGCCTGAGTTACACTGAATCCAGGCCAGCTGGCTCCGGTCCCAGTCCTTCAGTCCTCTTCACTGAAGGGCGAGGTGGATCGATGCCAGAAAGAGCATACAGACACATACTGACCACCCTGCTGGACACATAAATGGAGGGATGATGATGGAAGGCACCGAGGAGCAGTCACGAGTGTGGAGGATAAAGTAGGAAAATTAATCACTGCCAGGAGATGCTTAGACACTGACCACCATGATGGAGGGATGGGTGGAAAGAAAGAATGTTTGCAATGATGAAATAATGAAGGCATGCAAATGAAGGGTGGATGGCAGACTGAAAGTGGGCCTGTGCTGGGAAGAGGCCGCAACTATTGACCATCCTGCCAGCTTGTTAGAAGACAGAGCTGCAAAAGAATGAACGGAGGGATGGCTCAGTGGGTCAGAACGTCTGCCGGGTTCCCAGGATCTGTTCGACTTAACAGGATTTCAGTTTCCTATTATACAATTTGACCTGAATTTCAGATGTCTATGTAGAGTGAGTCGATGTCTGTCCGACCGGTGATAGGAGCCTGCCGATTAACACTCAGGGATCAACGCCAGACTAACTCTCAGACGTTCACACATCTTAGACGTTACGTCACCAGTGAAATTAAATATTAAAGAATTGGTAAATGCCAAAGAATCACACAAAATAATCCAAGTAATGCTTGATTATGCTTCACTGCAGGTAAACCTCTTAACATGTGTAACATATTTTGTAACAGAAACGTAATATATTTCAATCATCACAACACAATTTAACTTGAAGTCAGACACACACACCAAAAGCCCAACAGTATACCTCTAAACAACTTGGAGGAAATGTTACACAAACAGTCAGCTTGTTTCGATAAACCTGATTAACTGGTTTTCTGAGTATGTCACCAGAGTGTCATCACTTCCTTCCTTCAATGAAAAACATCCACCAATGAAGTGTCTAAATATATAACCAACTGTGCAGTTCTCAGTCTGTTCTCCTCCTTCTGCATTAGGATGCCAGGTCAGGGTGCACTAGATATTCACAACACACAATCACAAGCTCACACTCAGCCGCTAAAGGTGGGTCAGCCATTCTGGACAGAGATAGTTGATTGTTGAGTCTTATTTTCTTCTTAATCTTTCTCCAGAATGACTGATCCTGCCTTTAAAAACACCCAAAAACATTTATTAGATGGTTATGAAACAGAATCAGTAACTCTGAATTCGAGGTTCGGAACGTGTGAGTGATGAACAAGTAACCTGTGTTTGCCTCGGCTTCACTTGGCACTATTGTGGGGAAACAGGGTGATGCGTCTGTGACTATGTGATGATGAAACATGTCAAGAAGACTGACAACACACTGACCAGTATTCAGAGAGCACTAAACTGGAAGTTACGATCGATTTAGTTATAACTGGAACGCAGGCCTGATTTGTCACCCTGTGAAGGAGCAAACAGTGACCTGTGGCATAAATACAGATGTGAGTTATAAGCATTTCAACCAAAGAATCATTTTCCTTTCTTAGGACGTTTCATTTAAATTATTTTTGAGAAGTATTTTACATGAAAAATACAAATGAATAAGAATTTTCTTTACCAGAAATATTTGTTTCTATCTTTCTCATCTCTTTAATCATCTTTTGACCAATCAAATTAATCTTGGGAATCCCTGCAGTGTTGTTTCAACAGCATTTCAGTGACTATATTTCTAGGTTTGTAACTTGATTAAACATTCAAATATAGTCACAGATTGCTGTTGAAACAATGATTCTACCATTTAACCTTGATCCTACAGAACTTTCTCTGTTGAACCCAATTTATTCCAGCGTCAACCAATGTCTAAACGTCTTCTGTCCTGAAAATGATTAAATCAGAGCTTACTCATGTCAAGCCACTTCAAAAATAATATATAGTAAAATACGGGAGATCAATATTGGTGTAAGATTTAAACCGGATTTACAGAAAGATAGAGTTTAAAGACATTAATTCTGACCTAAAATAAAATACATTTCTGGCCAATATTACAGTCACCTTTTCCATTTCATTCTCTATGTTTGACTGCACTGTCTTAAGTTATTATCTGATATCAAAGATAAGGAACTAAACTGAACTCCTTCCCCTTCCTTCTGGCTGTTGGAGGCAGAGGTTCACATTAAAGATACTTCTGACTGGTACTCAGATATATCACCTTTTTAAAAATTCACATTCAGTGGTGTCTCCTGCTGGCAAGTCAATGTCCAATTCTTAACTAATAAAATCATATTTTACACAACCACAAATATGAAGAGGAGGTTTAAAATAAATAGCTATTTTAAAATCAACCCACATGTTGATCTTGTTGCTTTGCTGAGGAAAAGGTCAGAGGCTCCGTTGGTGCACAGACTGTGGGACGTTTTTTGTGGCTTCCTGCCAAACCTCCCACCCTCTTTATCTCACTCCTTTCTCTCCACCTTGTGCGCGCTGATGCAGTTCTGACTGTACCACGTGTTTAACAAAAACGCTGTAAATGTCACACACAAGTGCCCTTTTACATCTTAAAGTATCATTTTTGAATCACATGATGCAACAGTTACCACGGACAAGCTTCAGCATTCTCTGATAAACAACAACAAAGTTTTTTCTTTTCTCACATTGGGTGAGATTTCTGAGCTCGTGCTTTACCACCACTTCCTTTTTAGGTTGGGCTTTTTGTTTGTACATCTATCTGGTTTTGCATAGGCATGCAAATTCACATGAGAAACGTAAAGGCAATGGTTCAATGAAAACTCTAGTTTTAAAAAAGGTACTTGAGTATTTCCCCTTTTACGCTTCTTTATTCCCCAACTACATTTCAGAGGGAATAATGTAGTTTTTACTTTATAGTTACTATGAAGATCAAGATGTGAGATGTAGACGGCTGAAAAACATCACGTCGACAGTTAAAAATTACTTTTAATATCTGTGTCTGTTATTTGACCAGCCTTATCTCCCCATAACACACAGTAACATCCATAAAGAGAAGATAAGAGAAAGCAGTTAAACTATATATTCTGTGTTATCACAATAATTTTGTGTGTTTATGTTGTTTTAGTCTTTGTTGTACCTCCAGCATGCTCATATATTTACCTTTTTCTATTTCATGGACTGTTCACATCTTGATTTTATAACTTGTAATTGTTTCCTTTTGTTTGTTTAATTTTCTTTTTTGTCTTTTTGCGCCTTCCAACTTTCACCTCCTTCCTCCTCACAATTGATTCAGATACACATGTACCTGGTTAATCAGATCAATGAATTAAAAGGAACTGGTTTGTATTGTGAAACAACAATATTCAAGACTCAATCTGTTTCTTCTCTACCTGAAATGGAGGAAAATCTCTGAGAAAGCATGTGGGAAAATAACAAATAGACTAAATGTGTACTGAACTTCACACATTTAAAGCAATGAGTCAGCAGTTTGGACTTGAAGAGAATTGAATGTATTATTGTAGGAATACTTTAACCAGGAGCTGCCTGACTTTAAAAAACACACACATTGCCCTCAGCTACATTTACTCCACATACGGTTCATGATATAACTCAATAGTAGGAATTAACACGGTTACACCTTTAAGTACTCCCTCCCTCCTCTCCAGGCTTTACTATCTGCGATTGCGCGTCAGCCCTCATTGGCTGTCGGTGATAATCGGTCAACAAGCGGACCGGAGAGAGGCTGGAGGGCTCAGGGCAGCATGTTTACAGCTACTCATACTCCTAATTAGTTCTCTTAGACTATTTACTCGCTTCTTTTTTTTAAATCCCGAAACGACAGTGAGCTCGTTTCAGGGCGGACAATGTTTTTGTGTCGCACGGGGAGGCTGTCTGCAGCGGCTCTGGATCAGGCTTTCAGGTCAACGGGCTCGTTTCTAGTGCAAGTTAAAGCAAACAGACTGAGGGACGTCACTTTGACATTACGCAAGGACTACACGTCTCAGGGACACCGGTGTTTCTGTGCATCCGTCGGGGGTGGCGACTCAACTCGTGCGCACCTGCGGAAACAACAACAACAACAACCACAACCAGACCAGAACCGGGACTCATCGTCTGGTTTTGTCATCGCGGACTGGGGTCACTCGGACCGGGTGGCTGTGAATCTCTCCAAACGCGTGCAAAGTGAAGGCGGTAATAGAGATATTGGCAGACAGCCGCTGGTCCGTGCGAACAGGCGCCACAGCAGCGGAGGAGAGCCGGTTGGTAATGTTTTGTTTACAGGTAACTGGGGGGTTTCCAGTCTACGCTGCTCCACCAGGACCATGCAGACCAGAGCCTCGTCCACGACGAAGCGCGACCCCGGCGAGGAACATTCGGTTGACAGCAACAAAGGGGTAATTTAAAACTATTCAGCTCCAAGTGTTTGCCTAACCCCAATGACCAGTTAAATAAGAGCACACAGGTCCGAGTCTGTGTGCACATAGTGTTCAACTGGTGGTGGTGGTGGTGGTTGGGGGGGGTCCCAGTGGCGCCAAGATTAAACACAAACCCCCATAAAATATGCAGAAAGCTACCCGCCTGCCCGGGCCTCTTTAGGTAACAGCCAGCATGCAGGCTTGTTATACAACACTGCGTGACGCGCACAGCTGTGTGGGCTGTCTGCGTGTGCAGGAAGGAGCTCACAGGAGTCCATGCATAACTGATCTGCGTTTACAACTTGGAAATGAACTTACAGAAGTGTCAGTTAAAGAGCTGAGAGCTTGCTGACTCACTGACGGCTGTCTGTTCAAACTGCAGAGTCATTACTGCTGACTGCCTGTTTATAGAAAGTCACAGAATGAGTCAGTGTGTGCATGTGCTCTGGTGGGGAGTCAACAGCAGAGAGCAAGAGGGATGTGGGTGAACTTGAAGCTGCAATGATCAGTTCATAGAAGGCCCAAAAACACACTGTTACATAACAACACAGCAATAATTACACAACAATAAACAGCCACACTGTGGTACTCAGGCTAAATGCTAATGTCTGCATGCTAACGTGCTCACAATGACAGGCCATGTTCTCCATCTTAGTTTAGCACATTAGCATGCTGACATTTGCTCACTGTCACAAAGTGCAGCTGAGGCTGATGGGAGTGTCATAGGTTTTGAAGAAATGCGATTATAAACCAGAGTATTGGAAAAATGTAACATTTTCACCTGATTGTGACGCTAGAGGAAGAGTCAGGGGGATTACAGTATTCATCGTGTTGGCACCAGAAATATCTGTACCCATTATAGCAGTGCATCCAGTAGGTGTTTATTCCAGTCTGGACCAAAGCTGTGGGCTGACAGACATTACCATCCTGCCGCTAGCATGGCTCCAAAACTCTAACATATTGTCTGCTCAAAAACCGTAATCCAATGAAAACAGCTATTCTTTTTGCAAAAAATATATTTAGCAGGTGTATTGTCCGATATGCACTTATATGTTTGGGTTCAGCAATGTGGCTAAAAAAGTCTAACTTGATCTTTTCAGGCTTGGGGTCAATTCAGGATTTCAAATGACGTTTCTTTCCAGGAAAACTGAAAAAAGAGACCAGAAAGGTTTGAAGAGAAAGTCTTGCGGTCATCTAAAGATAGATTCAAGCCAATATCCTTCTCCTCAATATGCACTTCCTGTGTAAATATTGATTAAATAGCCACTTTTCAAGCAAGCAGCTAATGTAGGTAAATTGCAATACTGCCTTTTTAAATGGAGTAGGTAAACTGGATTCAGGTGGATCCTGTCTCTTGTCTGGGTGCCTTAAAAGAGTACTCATCGATTCAGCATTACACTACCATGATGTTGTCAGACTCACAATGGACAGTTGACAAAAAAGTAAATCAAAAAACTGATGTAGAGTTATCTTCTCTAATTCCACACATTTTTCTTACTTGTCAAAACGTGCTGCCCACATTACCCACAATGCAACCCCACCATCAACAGTTTGGTAAGATATTCAGGCGTGTTACACTAGTATTGGCTAATGTAGCCTCAAGCAGAGAGATAAGGAGTGAGCTATAGAGGTGAAATCACCTGAAGCGGTTTTAGAGTTCACGCAGCTCTCTACAACTTTTTCCACATCTGCATTTGTAGTATTAGACCGTTCTGTTGTAGGATGCTGCCTCCTGCAGTAGGGTACTGTTTTGTTCGGTTTTACTTTTTTCCAAGCCTGACACATAACGGTAACTTTTTTTCTTTTCTGCTTGAGCCTCTGACATTTCCCTCCCATTCTGTCTGCGTACGTGTGTGCATGTGAGCGTATCTTTGTCCGTGTTTGCTTGCCACTGGGACAAAAGCATATCTGCATGTGTCTTCATGCCTCTGAAAAGCTGTTATCAGACACAGCAGTCCCACTGTTCCCTCCCATACACCCTCCCCTGACACAACTCCCTTTTGGCCGCTCACTCACATGACCCTCCTACAGTTCTGCCCGCCTTTACTTTTTGCTTGGCCTGACTCGCCTCTGAAAAGCAAAAGGCCTGCTCCCTCGCCCGCTCTGGCCTTTCTATTGTCAATTGTTGGCAGGCCAGTGAATACATCACGCCCACTATGGCTTCATCCAGGGGGCTTGGGCCAAAATTTTGCAAGACAAAAGATCAACTTGTTTTTCTCCTGTCCCCTTCTTTTCCTTCTCTTCTTCATTAATTGTCTGACTCAGGCCAACAAAGGACAGTGCAGCGACAAAAGGCCTCAACGGATATAAATTAAAGTTACTGCCAAATGTCACATGGCAGTGAACGGACAGTGGGCTACATCGGTCTTTCACAGCAGCTCGATTTCTAATATTTTTTGTCACATTTGCAACCATCTCAAAGATTATTACACCAATGGGATGCTTTCATATTTCAAACCAATATAGAAGAATCATGGAGTTACTGCACGGTAACTTCCATACTTTTAGTGGCACAGACGGAATTGCTTTGGTACTACCGGGTACTGAAAAATGCCTCGTCATTCTGTACCAAATTTCAATACCTAAGGAGTTAATCTCTAGGTTCTTTCTTTGTTTTACTGCCAGCTGCTTATCTGCACAGACAACTGAACTTTGTGCACTGCTGCTTGTTAGCTAGTGCCAGTGCAGCTAATCTGTATCCACTCATCAGTGAGTCAGCGCCAGCTCATCCTCTCCCAATGCGTGGCGGGGATAAATAAGCTGGAGCTGAGGTGGAGAACATTTCTGACAGCAAAAGCTGACATGGTGAAGGGTTGTCAGATCCGTGCTAGCTACTCTTTAGCACGGAGGAAGTCAGAGCTCTCACTCTGCCACCATTTCCCGGTACCACAAATGTCATTCCCCCTCTTCTTCTTTGGATTAGGCAGACTAGACGTTACAATGCTGTATTGCTGCCATAATGTTTAATGTTCCTCTTCTGATACTGGTATTCAAACTATACCTACCTACCCAGCAGCACTCAGCAAATGTGAACTTTTTGTTAAACATGTAGGAGTTATAAACGTCAAATCAATGGAACCACTTTTGAATAGGGAACAATAAATATGCTGTATATATTTTAGCTATAAACCTTCTAGAAAATCTAGAGAGCATTACATATACAAATTACTACTACTATTTGTTTTTGCATTTTTGTAAGACTTAAAAGTTACTCTTTAATTGCATATCGCCAGGCGCCACAGTTGCTCTTCACCAACTGCAAGACCCAGAGCATGATGGGAAAACTCCTGGCTGTCGCCTGATCTAAGAGCTGATTGGCTCTGACAGCAAAGACCATGTTTTCCAAATTTTTTGTGTGGTTGATTACTACTACTACTACTACTACTACTAAAACTACAGGCATCCTAAAGATGATCTAACAGGATGTAAACATTTCTGTGACTTCCTGTATATTCTTTGAACGTTCCACCTTCACTGCAGCTTTTTGTCACCACCTGCTGCCGCCGCCTGACCTTTTTTCAGGAGAGGTGCAGTTCATCTTGAAGGAGCCTATTTTCCCTTAGCCTACATTTTGTCCTCATCACTACTGACCTTGACTGTATAATCTACTATAATAAAAGATTGCCTGTTAGAGAAGTCTCTGTAGGAAGTATTCTGTTGTAGGCTCAATGTCAATATTTTGACTAAAAATAAATTCATTCCACACAGGCCTGAGCTACTTCCTGTTTTCTCAAAGAAGTACTGAAGGACTGCCTCTATGAAGAAAATATATTTGAACAACGTGACTTCAGATTGAACCACTAGACACAATGCCCTCCTCTCAGCTCCCATTTTCCGGTTTCAGTTTAACTTCCATAATAATCAAAAAGGTTTTTTGTTTTTTTTAAAGCACTGTTATACCTGTTATTCATGTTCTGCTGTATTAAACATACTGCTGTGAAATGCAGCCCTGAAAGGTTTAGTCAGAGGTAGGATTATGTTTATTTACATGCCGTACTCTGAACATACTGCAGGCTTTCTCCCTTTTTAGATTCAGTAGCTGCTCTGTGAGTCACGTCTACACCATCGAGCTCTGTGGTGGTCTGTTGTCTGCAGTGGTGGTCTTATTGTTGTTGACTGTGTTGTAGTTCACTAATCTGTTTCACTGCCAGCGCACACTGGAGTGACCTTCCTGCTCTCTGCTGCATGTCAGACAGCTGGATTGTGTCTCGTGCTTGTTCATCTTGGAGAGTGGTGTGTCTGGAGGTCACAGACACAGAGTAATGTGTGTATTTGTGCACTTTGTGTGTAGGTTTTTGTCAGAAAGAGTGACAGACTTTGTTCGTGTGTGTGTGTGAAAGGGTGAGTGATAAAGTGAATTACTTAAAACTACACAGCAGCACTGTTTAATCAGCTGACTTGGCTGTATGATGAATAGAGGAAGCTCCTAAAAGTCCAGGCTTTGTTTGACCTAAAGTTTGGACTAGATGACACAATCACAGCATACAGTATTCTATTTCTACATTATGATGATACATGCATTCCTACATCTGAACTAAAAATATTTTTAGTTTGTTACAGCTCAGTTTGAACTTTAACATACATCTTTTGTTTGGTGATTCTGCAGAGCATCAATAATGGGAAATTCTGGTATTTGTTTTGATAAATTCTGTAACCAGATATTGTTCTGAGTGGGTCTAACTTGGAAATGCAAACAGCAGTAACCCTGGCATTAAGGTTAAAAGGTCATAAATTGAATTTTTACATCATCTGTAAATGCTTTCCTTTAGGTCTCTATCAACAAGTGTTTTGTTCAGACAAGAGTCACAAATTGATGTCACGCTTTGGTGTCATCACTTGTTCTGCTTTCTTTCGGCAGTAAAGTATACAACATACCAACACCTAACACATAACCCATGTCAAGTGGATATTAAAGTTAATAATTGGTTTGTTGTTTGAGCTTTTTTGCCTTGTGTGTTTTAATCCAACAAATTGTCAAAATCTCCATCTTGAAGCTCGTCAGTTTTGTAGTTTGAGGAGGCCTGTGGAATATGAATGTGACAAATGTCACGATTTTGTATGCAGAGTGGAAACCATCCACACAATTTTAATGCACTACCTCTTTGCCATTCTCATCGCCTATCTGTTTTTGTCTGGATGTGCAATCTGTCTTACAGACACAATCTTTCTTTGTCTTGCTCACTTCCACCTATTTTGCTCTCCCTTTTGTTTTTTTGTCCAGGAGGAGCAGAATTTAAAGGAGGCCTCTACAACCTCCTCATCCACCTTGAATGCCCCGAGGGAGCCAGAGGCAGGAAAACCCAACAAGACCCAGCAGTTAAAGAAAGTCTTCAAAGAATATGGAGCAGTGGGAGTTTCCTTTCACATCTGCATTTCCCTCATGTCCCTGGGAATGTTCTATCTCCTCATATCCAGGTAACAAAACATCACATTATTGCTTTTTCTACTAATGGCCACATACAGTTCTCATTTTTTCTAAAAGAAGAGGAGTAGATCTAGTGGTAGAGCTGGCGATTTACCATGTTCTGTTCGAATCTCTCTCTCTAGTTGGTAAGTAAACGCTAGTGCTTGATTTCTGGAAGAGTGAAACTTGTGACACAACGAAATAAATGAATAAATTTGTAACATAGGAAATGGACGTTTTTCTATCTCCATACGATAAAGATCGTCATATCGCACAGCCCTAGTCCACATAAATTATATAAAAGCAAACACATGAAACTCCTCCTGAGTATTTTGAAAGTATTTGGGGAAATGTAGGAAATCACTGCCTGGAATAAAAGCAGATGAAGCAGGCTGAAGATAAATAACTGGAACGCATCAAACATCACTTACTGATTTTATCCAGCAGTGTGAGAGCATCCGAGTGAAACATTTCCTTTAAACCGAAAGATGTACACAGGAAATGACTGACCCTTGGGCGGCTTTTACACATAGGAATGCAATATGTCTGGTGCAAATTGGCAGCAAATGGGACCCGTTATGAAAGAGAGGCAAAGCACGGGCTCTTGAAAATGTCCACTCAGTCAGCCACATTACACCGGCCCGGCTGTTGTTGAAATATTACTACTGAGCTGAATCAGACACGGGCACTAAAATCATGTTGAGCGCCTGAATAAAACATGAGTTCATTTTCTCACCTTGCATCTTGTTTTTTTTTTTGACTTGTAACTTTACAACAGCACGTGCAGCATTTTAAATCTTTGACACTACATTCAACAATCTCATGCATTTTGTAACCTATTGATGGTGACAGACAGTGGAAAGCTGAAGCAGTGCAGCACAACTTTAGTTTTGGCAAGTGTACCGGTCCAGACAATTTTTCAGGCCCTTGTCTGTCTGTCTGTCTGTCTGGCCACATGCCAAGGGCTTGAATACCAGAGAGACTTGGCAGAGATTATCTGAGAGCTTAGAGATTTCCTTGTATAGCTGATAATGGCCCTTAAAGTGAAAGCTGACTCTGTAGCTAGCAACCGTTGAGTATTATCACTGTGCAGCCACAGTGCCCAGGCATGTGGCCTGCTAATACAGTGCTGTGTGCTGGGCAAACAGTTGTCAGGGTGCAGATGGATCTTTATATTTAGCTGACTAAAGTTTGCTGAGTGCAACAGAGCTGTTAATGTGAGAGAGAGATGCTGTATTGATTGAAGCGGCTCTAAGCCTCGTGTTAGCACATTCTTTACATATTTATTTCCCCGAATAGCTCAGATGAAAATGCCACGGCTCTACAAAACTCTACAAAAGGCAGTGATACATGTAGCTTGTTAAGCCCGCTTTGATTTGTGTAATTTCATGCTTGTAGTGCTTCTTATGCTAATCAGTTTAAATGGGTCAAAAGGCTGTAAAATAAACTATTATACAACATTTTTTATTGCACACAGCTCCCTCTGGTGGAGATGAGGTGATTTGCACTTCCAACCAGTTACATAGAACCAAAAAGGGAGGAACTCTACTTGTTTACTTTCATATGTAATCTCTTGAAATCCGGGAGCAAAAGCTAAGCTGTAACAAAGAAAAGTTGCTCCTGAAGCACCTTAAAAGTTTTTTGGAAATGTTGGTTTTGGGATGTTGTAGTAACCCAGACCCAGTCTATATACAGTCTTGTTATTAATACATTACATGAGGGTTTGTATGGCTGAGGTTGCTGAATGTCCAAATATTATTATTATTATTATTATTATTATTAATTCTCAATATATTGGGTTTATCATAACATCTCTTATTTAAATTTATTCTTTATTCATTTCACTTCTGTATTTTGTCCATTGTATCTTCTCATTGTTACTGATTCATTTTGTTATTAATGTTTGTTTAATATATATAAATAAGCCTAATGTTGGGTTATGATTGTGCGTATTCATTTAATCAAAAGGAAAACTGTAGGAATAAAATGTGAGTCATTGGCTAATATGTGAATTCTCTGTGCTTCTAACTACTTTTCTGTGTCATTTGTCTCCCCAGTGGGATCGATATGACGGCCGTGCTGTGCAAACTGGGCTTCAGCGAGGCGGTCGTTCGGTCTAAAATGGCAGCAGGGACGAGCACGTTCGTCTTAGCCTACGCCATCCACAAGCTCTTTGCTCCAGTTCGCATCAGCATCACTCTGGTGTCTGTACCTCTCATCGTGCGCTACTTCAGAAAGACTGGTCTCTTTAAACCACCTACGCCTGCACCCTGATGACCCTTCTCTACTCCTCCGCTGTCTCATTAGGCAACAGACATCCTGACTGTTAATGGCCATAATTAAAACGCGTGTATACATTCTTACTCATTGCCTTCATCTAGAAATGCCTCGTCTTTTCTCAGTTGTCGTTGTGAATTCAGTTTAAGTGTATTTAGAGTCATGCCTTAATATGTGTGCATTCCAAAAACCAGAAAACTAAAACTAAAAACTATTTATTTACAATCAGAAGTATGATCAGGGATTTTAAGTTGTAGTCATAAGCTCTTTCAGTAGGCAGGTTTGTCTCTCAATGCTGTGAATGTTCCCTATGGGGACAAGAGGAAAAAGCTGATCTCCCCTCCACTGTTCGCTGACTAGGCCATGTTCTGGTGTTATGTGAATCAGCAGAATCTCTCTCTCCCTCCCTCTCTCTCTCTCTCTCTCTCTCTCTCTCTCTCTCTCTCTCTCTCTCTCTTTATATCACTTTGTTGTTCCTCTCCTATCCTCACTTTTTCTCCCCATCTTCTTTCCATCTTGTTCTTTTCTTCTTTTATTGCAAGCTATGGATGAAGACTGTTGGTTTGTCTTTCTCTCTCTCTCTCTCTCTCTCTCTCTCTCTCTCTCTCTCTCTCCTTATATCACTTTGTTGTTCCTCTCCTATCCTCACTTTTTCTCCCCATCTTCTCTCCATCGCTATGTATGAAGACTGTTGGTTTGTGAGGGGTTTTTTTTGTCTGTATTTAACTATTAAAAGGGATGTTCTCTATTATATTTGGTGTGTTTTTGTTATGAAATACCATTATAGTACCATAAGTCAATTAGGTCATATTTACTAGTCACAGAGATTTTTTTTCCACAATTATTTTTACTTTATATGGACACTGCAGATTTCAACGTTTTAATTCAACCCTTTTTTTTTAAATCACAGGGATGACACAGTTAGAATATCCAAGCTGCTTTGTGCTCCCCCCTCAGGTTTTTCAGTATTTGTTACTGCAATTATATTGTTACATTTCTTTTCCACCTAATATATATATATATATATATATATATATATATATATATATATTGATGTATGTGAGGTAAAAACACCACCTTTGGTTACACTTCTCCTTTTTTACCACACTGGGGAGCTCCTGAACTACAAGTACAGTGCTGTTCTTTCTCCAGTCCTCTGATACGACCACATCGTACAGTTCACATCTCTTGTAAGATTGAATGTTTTTGTAATTGTCTTCAAGATAGTTACAAGCATCATCTCACAAGTAGAAGCATCACTCCTCAAGTGTTGTAGAGTGTGACAGATTGATGTCTAGAAGGCAATGAAGAAGTCGGTGGACACATTTTGTGAAATTACAAAAATGTTATGTTACACATGATACCTGGATAATACTTAAACAATAAAACAAAGGCTTGAAAAAACTATATGATTAAGGTTTAAATAAAGCACTGCCATGATGGCGCACCATGTTTTTTCCTAAGGGGTTAGGTCATCATACACTGACCAGTTTTTGTCCTCATAAGAATTCATTATTTCTGGCTGTTTTATCACAGCAGGTATGGTGCCATCTCTCCCTTTCCTCCTGTCCTCCTCTGTCTTTCCTTGAAGGTTTGATGGGTCAGCCAGCACAGCGAGCAAACCTCAGCTGGTGTGGTGTCCCTGAAGATCTGCAGTGTATTGAATGGTAGCTGCCTCGAACAAGACCTTATCTCTCTCTCTCGGTGTGTGTGTGTGTGTGTGTGTGCGCCTCTTGGCCCGGTAAATAATTCAAGTCAGGAGAGTTGTATAAGGAGAACTAAGAGTGCATGGTGGTCTGTGCCAGATATCAGCCCCGGTTTTTCAGGAATAGGAGCTTTGGCAGCACTGTGACACGAACTGATACAAACGATCTTACACACACACACACACACACACACACACACACACACACACACACACACACGAAGAAGGAGAAGCCTGGGCCTCATTAGCCATGATGAGGACAGGGAGCTGCCATTGCCTCTCCATCCCCTGCATGTCCCCCATGGCTAAGAACAAATTGGTGACAGCGCTCCCAGCCACTCTGTCGGGCTACCTGCAATGCATTGGGCTCTGTCAGGCTCCTCTCCTTCCACACTGCTGTGCATTTGGGTATCAGTGTGTGTGTGGAGAGAGAGAAAGGTAGACACACATGAGAAAAAGAAGAGAGGGGCAGATCAGCTCCTTGGTTACACTCCCTGTCACCTTTTGCTCGGCCCAGAACTGAGTCGTGATACGAGTGCAGCACTTCATCTGGTTGGCCTCGAGTTTGGTGAGGGGGCCCCTCCTGCAGCAGGAGGGGTTCAAGGGGGTTCAATTCCCTGCCTCAGCTCCTGACTTGTGCCCGCTGCACCTTTTTATTAAAGTCAGATACACCGTCAGCGTCACCACTGTCAGAGCAGCACACAGAGTGAATCCATTATGGCTGTATATTCAGACCCAGACTGCATTTCTGACACAAGAGTTGGAAGGCGTGTGTGTATAGTAGTTGCAAAGTGCTGATGCATGCAGCGATATATAAACATATGGCAACAGCACATACCTTATTTCTCACACACACACACACACACACACACACACACACACACACACACACACACACACACACACACACACACACCTTATACGCACACTCACACTCACTTCCTGACAAGCTGCCTTTTTCCCCCTTGCACCTTCTTTTATTTAATTTCTTCATTATTTTTTCTTGCTATTTCCTCTCCATCATTTTCTGCACCTGCTCATTATCTCCCCTTATTACCTTTCCCCCAGCGTCTCCCCATCTCCTGACCTGCTCAGTAAACTTGTTAGCCCTTCAGAGTGTCAGTGTCTAGACGGAGAGGCACCTATTCCGTCAGCCTCGTAGGTTCAAAGACATCCTGTGAATTTCTTTACAGGAAGGGGCTGGCATAAAGTTTCAAGGTGCACGCAATCATACACACTGCGTACACAAACACACACTTATTCCATCTCTCTCTCTCTCTCTCTCTCTCTCTCTTGCTCTCTCTCTCTCGCCGGCTCACCATCCTCCACCATCCTCTTCTTTTTTTTTGCTTTAACCCTCTTTTCCTCAAATTTTTTGGCCACTCCTCTCCTTCTCCCCCACTCGCTCTCTCGCCCGAGCATCTCTCTCTTTCGCTCTCTTTTCCTCCCTCTCCATATCTCTCCTCTCCCGTCTCCGAGTTAAGTTTAGCAGATGCACCTGATGGCAGCATCATCCTGGAGCACCTGTCAGCTGTCTGCCTTCATCACGGCTCCTCTGCTGCCACAGGGGCCACGGGGAAGTAAACCTGGAGACAGTCGCTACTATCAACACCTGCATCTTATTATTTTAAACACCGGTGCCAGTCAATTTCCACCAGAGATGCATGCATTTTTATTTATTTTTTTGTTGTTGTGTGTGCTGCCTCCTCATTCTCATTGCTCCTCAGGATTCAGAAGCTCAACTGTTAAATGTGAGCAATTATAATCGAGCAGAGAGGGAGGTGAGGTTGGATACGGAGAGGCATACGGAGAGTTTATCTAACCAGTGGCAGAGAAGAGGAGGAAGAGGAGGCAGCAGCCATAAGTTGTCAAAGTGTTTTTGGCAGTTGTGGATTATGTTTTTGACTGTCTGTTACTGCAACTTAGCTGAATGCCTGTCACCCGTCTAACAGGCAGCTGGGTCATTCAGTTTGCGCTTTGTTAATGCAATACTTCCAAATGCTAGATACAGTGTACTGCGACACATTTTGTTGGCCTTTCTCAGTCCAACTAATGCCACAGATTCCCTTTTAAGTCAAACTGTGGCCTCTCTTTTATCATAAGTGGAGTCACAATGTTTTTTTTTTGTTTGTTTTTTTAAATGGGATTATGGGATTTGTTTCCACACAAGATTTCCTGATAATGATTTACTCAATAAATATTAAACATATTCAGCATTAGATCCTAGATTTTATGCAAAATGAAATACAACCAACTCTCCTATATAATTTGATTTCATGGTTTATATTTACATCCAGAATTGGCAGAGTGCAACTGTGATGTCCTATAGCATCCCATATAATTGATATTCCGGGTGCTATTTATCATATATTTGATATGCTCACCTATGAAGGCTTCTCTAGAGCTTTCGTAGATGTTCTGCAGTGCGTTGCCTTCTGGTTTATCATATTCTGTCTTCTCCCTACATATACAATACATAGTGTGTGACATTGGCATTTAGCAATGGTGATGCGGAGCCAGGGAATAATTTTCCCCAATCCGTTCCACTAAAATCTCTTGTTAACAATGAGGATGCATTTGATAAGCATGCATTGTGTTGTATTGTTAGTGAAAGTCTTATTCCCACTTAAATTATCTCTAGAGAGTATGAATGCAAAAACTGACTCTTGTTTAGGAGAACTCAGATGTTTCTTTGTCAATAATAGGATTAATTTACAGTATGTTGTTTTTGGGATGTTCAAGTTGCCACATGAAGATCTAGCAAGCTCTGCAAGATCTAATGGAAGTGCAGCCAATTGCGATACACTCGTCATGCCTGTAGATTTATATAGAGAGGAACGATGTATACAGTATATCTTCTATCTGCAATTATTCTTCCTTTTTGACAGAGGAACAATAGCAATGACGGCAAATGTCATTTGAACTGGCTGGTGCATCAGTAGGGATTATAATGTCTTGCTCAAGTACTCTGACAAAGATAGAAATTGTGACCTTCAGATGTCAAGCCTAAGAAGTTTACAATTGCCTCAAACTGTATCGAAACTATAATAATGATAAGCAATATACCAATAACCTAATCACTTGCAGTAAAACCAGCTATAATCCCTAATCAACATTTATGGAAGCTTCTGGTGTTTCATCTGAAACAATATTTCAAGATAACAGGGCCGAGATGATCAGTCATAATCAGTATGTCTGCACTCTGGGAGAGGAGTGAACCAAAACTACACCAAGTGCAGAAACTGCGCTGTAAACCACAACTGAGCTGCCATTACCGATCGAAGCCTGTTTGCCTGTACACACTTCAGAATGAATGCATCTCATAAATCCTCCCTAAACGATTCCTCCTTAAATTATTCCCACAGCTTAGACTGTCTGCTCAGTGGAAGGCGCTCATGGATCAAACCATTAACAGGAAACCAGGCCGGGTTGACGAGCAGAGGGCAACAAGCTCAGGCCCCAGATCATCACCCCGCTCCGACCCACCACCCTCTACAAACCTAATGGAAAGCAAACAGACAGACAATTTCTTTCAATTAGCCCGAACTGGCCGACCCAATAAATTTTAGTTTGTTCCTCAAGACGTAAGGGCCCTGTTGCATGTCCTGCTGAAAATGAAGACTAATGGGGTATTGTGGAGCTGCTGAGTGCCACTATACCACTCGCCCGCTCTTGTTTTTTTTCCCCCCCGGCCTTCCCTCCTTCCTTGAGCTAACTGGGATCAGTGCTGACCAGGCACAACACAAATGTTTAATACATTTATTCACGACTTGGATTAATTTTCTGTTTTAAGCATTATTCCTTAGCAGTTAGCTGAAGCTATTCATCACAGCTTGACAACAGCCGTGAACGCAACCATTGTTCACCCTCGGTGTCAGCTGAAGTGATGGCCTGCAGAGTAAGACTCAGCCACTCAGCTGCCTACTGAATTACTTCAACTTTTTATTTTTTTTATCTTTATATACAGTACGTTTTATGGGAATTTAGAGCTTCAATTCAAACTGAATTTTTGGAGCTGTTCAAAATGTGCTACAGAGTATGTTAAT